CTGGTCGTGGTGCATGGGGAAACCCACCCCCTACAGTAATAATAATAATAATAATTATGGTTGTTGCATGAATCTGCCAATTCAATGAGGAAAACTCAAAGTTCAGTTTTAACCCTTTTCTAGTACCTTAATATTTTTATTTTCTTAAAAGTAAAAACTACGCCTTTTCATTTTAGTCCTTGTGAGTGTGTCTTCTTATGAGGTACAGCAGATTTATGGGTGAAAGACTTCAGATATACTGTAATGCAGTCACATATTTAACTAACCTCTATTATAATCACACAAGTAATATGACTGTAATAGCACCTGCACAAGGGAGGATGAAGGGCAGTGCTGCTAATGGCAGAACCAAAAGATATGTCCCTGATCAAGTGCAAGTAATAAAAAATTATCACTGCCCCTTTCTGAGAGTAAAAAGTAAAAGTAAAGCTATCCCTGTACCAGGCCGTGAAGGCCCATAGGGTTGTGAGACGTTGAGGGTCCCACATTGTCTAGACAATTGGCTCAAAAATGGCAGTAAGGTTGTCAGCCTTACGCGCCGGCCACGCTTCACTCCCCAGGAAAATTATTTAATTAATTCCTGGTACTCAATTCTGTTAAAGGCTGAGTAAACCCCAGGGCCTAGTGTGGCTGGAAGGATTAAGTCAACTGAAAAAAATCCAATGAACCCATCAGGACTTCAACCCGCGACCTTCTGGCTTGTAGCATAGCTCCTCAACCACTATGCTACCACGTGCCTGCCCCTTTCTGAGAATAAGTATCATAATCCATCGTTAATCTACACAAACCTGGGTAGCTAAATGAATGAAACTTGAGGCAAAACTCTTTTGGTCAATTTAGACTGCAGTTAGTTCCATCTCAGTGTGTCAGGTATATGAACACAACTGACCAAACCTAAGGCTGATTCTAGGAGTGAGTGTATCCACCAAGGTAAGAGAAGGAACCATAGCAACTCTCAGGTGGTTACTATGGCTAATTAGATTCTGTTTTTGTGGCACAGCTGGTCCTCTCTCATTTCTAGAAGCATACATTCACTTCTACTCTCCAAATACTCATCAACACACATACATCTCGTTATTATTGTCACACAACATGAAGAACACATTAACATATCAGCACACAGTTTTGGCATCTTATGAATTACAAAGATACAGTTCTAGACAAGAAACTTTCTTGATGGGCACAGAAATGATAAGCGTGATCCATCTCAGAAGTCAGCACCTTCCCATCTGCTGGACTGTCTAGGTGCAATTCACAGACAGTCTGCTATTATGGCAACGTTGGATAGGAGAAACTCTGCAACACTTTGTCCTGCTACCTAACTTTATTCTTATCTTTCTGGGGTTCCAAATAAATTGGAGTGATATTTGATGGTTTGTATTTCCTGAAAAGCAAGATTTAAATAAATAATATAAAGGCAGGTTCAACACACTTTCTATTGAGCATGAATTTAAACAATATTCATTATTTCACAAACCACATAGTATTCTTATGCTCATTTTGAAATCAAAAATACATTTAAGATTTGAGGTTTTCATGATAATGAAGAGTTACGGCTTTAGATATCTGATTGGTGGTTACCAGCATTTTGGAGAAACATGATGGAACAGTATATGCCTCCGAAACATTGGTTCTCACCCACCAGACACATGATGTCATGATGAGGAATACCAATAACAGTGACAAAACTTCACATGAAACCAACCTGATTCAGTAAATACTCGTAGGTCTGTCTTTTGGGATTTAACACCATGTACTCTGTGGAGAGTCAACCAACATTTCGAAGGAACATCAGTCAACTTTCAAAGGACTAAATGGCATATCCCAGAAGATAGACCTCTTTATATACACTGCTGTGATGACCTCAACTCCTGAAGCTTGCTTCAGTAACCAGCAGTTCAATATAAGGCTCTTAAATCCTAACATCACTGTTGGTATGACCTGCCAAGACAACGCATACCTTCTGCACTTACAATTAATATTATCAGCAGAATACATCCAGAAAATAATTTTTGACAGGAAATGGAAATGTGAGCTATGATAAGATTTAATATTTTAAATTTGATACAATGAAACTAGAATTTCAGTATATAAATATGCAAAATCAGAGTAGTCAGTGGTTATTTGGCTGTTCAAGGGATTCTCCATTCTTATACACCCTCTGTGTCCATCACTTATTTGCACCTTCATAACTACTGCCATAAGATTGTATTATACCCTTAATAGTATAGTGAAACTTTTTATGTTTACTGATTTAAAATTTTCTCCCAATTAACATTCAGTTTCTGTGATCCCAAGTCAATAATCTCAATGTAAAATTTAATCCAATCAAAATTTTCCTCAGTACAGTGTTCAAACTCACTACTCCTCAAAAGAAACTTAAATGGGAATATGACCTTACATAACAAAGAGTTAAAACAAAAGCGGCCTCCATAGTCTAGGGGTAATGTTCCCACCTCATGACTCAAGGCACGCGGGTTCAAACCCGGTGGAGGTCGTGCAATATTTAAGGGCAGAAAAATTCAGGGAACAAGTCCTCTGGGAGGGACTTTAAGCCGTGGGTCCTGTGTCGTAGATTTGCGGCACGTAAAAGATCCTCATGTCTCTAGGAGACCTCTGAGCAAAATTAGGCAACAATTTCCCGCCCAAGTAGTTTCCAATGCCTCTGGTAGATGGGGGAAATATCAGGTACCGACGGCCGACCTCGTTGGCTGAACGGGGCTGATAGCACGCACCAGTACCGGTAGGGTATGGCGACAGTAGAAATTAAAGGGGGACGCACAATGGACCAATAACTGGTCTAAGTGCATGGGAAAACCCACCCCCTCTAATAATAATAAGAGTTAAAACAATCTTGAGTGCCTGTGTATTCTCTATACTTACGCATATTCTGAATTTGGAACACCAATGACAAGCATATCACTGCCCTTCACACGCATTCTCCACATGCTTTTATGATAACCCCGGGCATCAAGATCCCAAATCTTGAAGCACTGAAATAAAAGTAAGAAAATGAAAGAAAAAAGGGAAGAAACAATTTTAATTCTGCTTCATGTTTGAATGGCTGTGAGGTTTTGGAAACATACCTTTGCAACTTGCAGCCATGTAACAAAGTCTTTCGGTTCTTCCATTTTGATAAACATGATGTTGACTTCACCCTAAAACAGATGGCAATAAATCACAATACAGTGGTATCTCCATTATGTGTGTGTGTGTGTAGATCATCCATTTTCTGGATTAACCATAAAACTTCTAGAACACCTTAGTTGACCCTGCTGTCCATTTCATCTCTTTCAGTAATATGTACCAGCAATTCTTAACAATGATTTCTAGCAGCTTGTACACTTTCTCATTGTAGAATAGTTGGTTGAGGCACTGCTACAAGCTGGAAGGTCATGGGATCGAATCCCAATGAGGTGAATTTTTCAATTTACCTAATCCATCCAGCCACACTATGGCCCTGGGGTTGATGAGTACCAGGAATATTCTTGGAATATTCTTGGGGGTAAAGGGCGGCTGGCGTGTAAGGCTCACAACCTTAACGCCATCTATGAGCCAACTGTCTAGAAAATGTGGGAACCTCAACATCTCACAACCCTATGAGCTTCCATGGCCTGTTACAGGGATACCTTTACTTTACTTTACTTTACTTTACTTTTACTGTGGCTTTCTATTTTGTTGCTGTATTGCTTTTCACAAGACTGAGATACATCTCAGTTTAGAGATCAGCAACTTGACCAGTAAGTAAGAGTTAAGTGTTTTTCAGGGCTGAATTCATAATGCACACTTCCATATTTTTGGATTATTCATCATTTCCAATTATCCATCCTACTTCTGCCCTCCATTACCATGGATAATTGAGAGTTCATTTATTTCAAAAGAGCGTAATATGAATTTATGTTACCCCAGCAAAGATTCAAGTTGAGCAGAAATCTATACAGGGTTCTGAAAGCATTACAAGTCGTCAGTATTACAAAGCTCATTTTATGGTTTTAAAGAACAAAACAGAGTATGAAATTTCAGGTTCAGCATCAATGAATATTATGATTTCCACCTTCGGGGATGTGATGTCATGTAGTTTGGTAGATACGTAATAGGCTTTTGGGGAAACCTACTGCCTCCTGCCTCAGGGTAGAAGAGTGAAAAAGAATTTGCTCTACTCTGAACCTGGAGACAATAGGTATCTCTCAAATACTGGTACTTGTCTATCAAACTACACAGCATGATGTCCCAGAACAATATTGCATGTAAACATCTGGTTCTCACGCAAGCAGCTACCTAGTTCAGGGTCTTGCCAAACAGACAATAGTTTCAACCATTCAAGAGATTCTGCCATAATGAAACCCACAGATTCACTTCATTCAGGCCTGCTACTGAATTTGAGCCAGTTTAATCCAATACACATCCTCATAAAGCTATTCCTCAGACATATATTTGTTTATACTTTACTTAGCAGTGCTGCCAGTAATTCTGACTATATAGGGTTGAATGATAATGAGTAATAAATTGGAAAGGATATGGAAGGGAGTGATCATGAGTGGCCTTGCAACAGGCTGATCCCCCATCCAAGGAGTCATACCGACTGTGTATAGATTAAGAAACTGAAAAAAAAAAGTGGCCAAGGTCCACAAGGGCTGTAGACTGGGATAGTCACAGAAAGTCAAGATAATCTGTGTCCTTGCTGAGATCAGCCCCCACCAAATACAAACCAAACATAATCAGCATACAGGGCAGCACAACATTAAAATTTCATCACCAAACCCAACCTTTTCTCTCTAAAGTGATGTATGCCTTTACTGGGAGGGGGCGAGTCATGTTTAATCTAACATCATATAGCCAAGAAAACATTTCATCGATCAATAGCCTGAACTTCATCATCTCTCTGTTGTAAGTTTTGTATATCTCATTAAAAATTGGACAGATGAGAATGCCATAAAGCAGTACATACATATCACTCTGTGGTTCATGAGAAATTTTGACTGACATATAGAATGCACCCTTTAACACAGATTTTTAAAGATTAATTTTCTATGTCCACTTTCAGGATAAAATCCAGAGTTTAGAAGTTTACTTTACTGTTAACATACCAAGGAACATACCAAAGGAATGTCTTCTGATAAATTATCTTGTCTAACATATACTGTTTGTTCTTTCATTCTTTTCAGTAAGTATACTTAAAATAAAACAGTAGTCCTAAGTAAGGTGGTGATGGAGAAATGTGAGGATGAATACAGATTCAGGAAGAAACAAGGATGGAAGGGTCATGTTTTATTTTAAGATGTTATCTTTGTATTTGTGTGGAGAGACTGACTTAAGTCATGCTAAATCTCAAGAAGGCTGGCCATAAAGCAGCATGGTGTCACCACTCAAAAGTTAAAAAGATTTAAGTATCAATTTACAATAATATATTCAGTCTCTGTTCTTGTTTGTTTATTCAAAATTAAAATCAATAGAACTGAATTTTCAGGAGGCAAAGAAGGGACACAAAATCAAATATGAGGAACGAGAGACTCATGAAGTAGGAATCAGAATACATATGTGGGGCTCTTGTCAATGTGTGTAGTCTTGTCGCTACTCCTATGACAACCCACTTCTTCGGAACAGTTTGTTGGCCCTGAAAAGGACCGTGGCTGCTGAGATGCTTGATCGGAGAGGTAGCGCGGCGCGCGCCGGTAAGGAGAAAGGCTAGTTACGGTGAATGGCTGGTGAAAGGCTAGTCGTCGAGCGCGGTCGTAGGAGCCATGAGGCAGTGGCTACGCCAGATGCCCAGTGAGTCGGACCGTAACACGACCACTGGCGAGTCCAGGCGCAGTGCCCCAGTGAGTCGGGTGTGAGAGCACTGGAGAGCCGAGGCAGTCGTGCCTGGCGCAGCCTGCCGATGTCTCCGAAGACCGAGCGCTGGCGACGAAGCCTGCTGGTTGAAGTTGCTTGCTGTGTGGCTTGATCGTAGACTGCTGATGAACTGCGTGGAACTGAATAACTCGGCTCTGGAGTCGCTCCTTTTTATACGCTGGTCAGTGGGGCGGAGCCAAACTCGAAAGTGAGGAGGAAGAATTGATTGGCTAGCGCGCGTAATGACGTAGATGCGGGCCAGGAGTGATCCCAGTATAAATATGAACGTTTGAAGCAATCAGATTGGTTAGCGCGCGTGATGGTGAAAAGCGATGTGAAGAGCGAGCGTTGCAGAAATGCGTGACAATGTGGGATGTTCCCACACATATGCTAAAATATGGACCTCTTATACTATAAAATTTTCAGGATAGCTGGGAAAAACTTACAGAAGCAAGCAAGATTAGTTTAAATCATGATCTGTTAACTGGAGAGGTAAAAAAAAAAAGGTACAACTGTTGCTTCTTTCAAACATTCTGAAGGTACTCCAGTTAGTAACAGTAAAGATTTTCACTGAAGTGTTGATCCTTTGTGTCTGAAATAGTTACCAGGCATCTTATGTAATATAAATTGTCTAATTATACTATTGTATCAGATACTTATATTAGGTAAGATGCGAAAATCAACTGACCTTCTTGTCTGGAATGAAGTTCTCTTCACAAGGTGACTTGCTGTGGTCCAGCACTGTGCCTCGTTTGATCATGCTCACTATCAGCTCCTCATAGTTATTCCTTTTCATGCTACAGACAAGATCAGAAAGGTTAATATAGTTTTCACATGTGTTATTGTTATTTTGTTACTATCATTACAGTGATTATTATCATGTTGCCTAATGGTACCCTTTGCCTTTTTTTCTTTTGTTTGTGTGTGTGCATTCAGGTCCCCCCTCAACAATTCATGCTTTATAAGTTGCCTTTTGGCTGCTGAGTAAGCATGTAAGTAAAATAGAGCTGAACTGAATTTATGATTCCCGTTGGTAATATGCATCCTACAGTTACCATGGTTAGTGTTTCAGTAGTGCCACTATTGGTACTCCTGCTTCAGGAGTTTGACCTTCCACCATCTTTTTGTTAATCACTGTAGGAATTTAAAAACTTTAAACTTCTCTCCAGTATCATAATATACTGTAACGTGGATGGCGCAACAGGAAGTAGGGGTCACATGAACTCTGTGTTTCCACGAGTGATGTCACGTACCCCCACTCCTCCCATCATTATGCAGCGCTCGGTAAACACCCCTCCCCACTAGGCTGTGATGTCACGCAACAGGCGAGTCCGTGCAGTGACTATTACTAGGCAATGCATAAGTAGAAACACTTTACAACAATACCTGATATCTGTTGCTCAGCAGCAATGTGTTCTCTATTTTGTCTGTGCTGAGCCTAAATAAGGAGCAGCGAACACTATTCAGGAGTAGTGAGAATTGAGTATTGAGTTACGAGAGAGTTACTAGTAGTGAGTATTGAGTTACTAGAGAGAGAGTTACTAGTATCCAGTATGAATTGAAGTCCATCAGCTACGAGCTGAGTTGTATCGAGTGCATGGCAGTGACTACAGCAGGAGAAGTAATTGTGATACTGCAGATGGCAGTAAATGTGAAACTGTGAATTGTGTAACTGTAAGAACGAATGTGGAATAAATTCATTATATCCAAAAACGTCATGAAGTTATTTGTCGTATCACATACCCAACATGAGACAATACACATAAAATTTCCTCAACATAAATCCATAAACTCTCAAGTTGAGAACAGTATATGGCCAGACAAAGAGACTGACACGCAGGTGGACTGCTGAACAGAATGACAAATATAACAATCCTGGATACATTACTGTACTCAAAAATGGACATAAATCTGAATTTTGAAGAAAATTAAACTTCAGGGGTGTAGTACATATTGTCAAATGTGTGGGTGACTATAGATGGGGTTTGGATTGGAGATTGGATTTCATGACCACTTACAGATCGTTAAGAAGTAACTATAACACTATCGCTAATCTCCAAGCATTACAAATTGCTACAGCACACACTAAGCCTTCTCCGTCTGCTTCCACTAGTCATTTCCTGGTAACAGACCTTAACAATGGAGATTCTTCAGTTTCTGTGCTCATATCATTACTGTCTGGCAAATATCCCACAACCGCACTATTGCTCAAATTGACTAACTCACAGGCTGACTGCCATCTCACACCAGTCTACTAGTCTTCACTTTACAGACTGACTTACAACTGACTACTGCTTGGCTGGTGTCCCCACTATCTAACCCTTGGCACCGAATGTGTAGAAAACACCATTTCCAGCAGTTCCTCTATTGTTTCACATGGACCCATTGCTGTGGGAACCTGTTTATTTCGGAGCTGCTACCTAGTAATGGGTCTACACACTACAATATTGTAACGTGTTTCGTTACTGAATATGCCATAGAGATCGTTAATTGGTTTATTTAGCAACCTACAAATCACGGCTACAATTAATTATAACAATATTGCGGGCTTTCACAATTTATAACCCTATTCGCAAATCAAATCACGCTACTGTCAGTTGACTACACATTTCATAGTACAGGAGCTATACAAGAGTCACTGTGTTACACACTCCCAATTAATTCTCAGTTATCACAAACTGTCACTGATTATCACACTTTTACTCGTTCATGGCTGACTGGAGAACTATCTTCGGCCACTGATACACTTTAACTATCTCCGACGACGGCTAGATTCCAACTCTACTCGCAGGCTGCTGCCTTGAGAACTGTTGATAACACACTGGCTCTCGCTTGCTGCTCAGCCGGCTTTTATTCCGTTCGCTGTTACCTGTTGCCGTCTTATGTCACTGCGCGTTACGTTACCGTGCGGAGGGGGGGAGCGCTGACTCATCCGCCACGTCACTGTGGCCTGAGTTGCCATGTTGCTGCTGGGTAGGGAGGGGTTCTCCGTTGCGCAACATGTCGCAATATATTGTTTTTTTTTTTATTTAATATACAGTTGGACTCCAGCCCCCACTAAGTGAATTAAAAAAAATTAGTTATTACTAATTTTGTTTTTATGCAAGGCATTAGTGAAGATCAGTGACAACAGTAATTAACAAAAGTTTAACTATAAATTTCTTTTGTGAGGCTCTCCGCTCAGAGTAGAGAGTAGATCCACTGAGCCTCCACAAAGTAAATTACCTACCATGGCCACTCATAGTATTTGCTGATTAGGAGTTAAGAGAAGCCAAAATATGAAGATCGATGCTCCAAAGTATACGATTTTCTTTCATACTTCACTTGTACTATCAACAAGTGAAGTCTGTATTGTACAGACGCCTAAAATTTTTAAGAGTTCTTTAAGAAGATATTTGGTTTTGCATTGTTTTTATAGACTGGAGGAATTTTGTTGTATGAACTGTTAATATGTTTTTTCGTTTAGCATTTAAATTTTATTGTAATTATATTCAATTGTGTTCAATGACTGTGTTATGTATATTTCATATTATAATTACCTTGACTTGTTCCAATAATTAATTGGAACATTTGTTCTGATATGTGACTCATTCTGTATCCAATGGTTTGTGAATTTATTTTCCACCCTGTATCTGGATCTGTTTGAATTTGAAATAAACTGAACTGAACTAAAAAAAAAAGTTATTATTACCTGTCCACATTCTTGAGCTCGACATTGGGCTGAGTATTGAAGGAATGCTTTTTAAAGTAGACATCTTGGAAGTATGAGTTCATGTTCAGGCCTGAAGATCCAAAGTGGTATGTCCGAGACACATCTGGAATTACGCACTCTCTGCCTTTACGAATCTCAGGCAAACGCATCCACATATCCCAATCCCACATCTTGAAAACAAAGCATGAAACTGTTAGTCATTCTGTAAGTTGCATCTATGCTTAACTAACATTACACTGTGAGGGTGTATGGAGAAGTACGAGTATAGCTCCACATTTTCTTCACCTCAGCACTAAATAGAAGAAATTTCTCATCTTCATGCATAGCCACTTTACTATCAAAGAGAGTGTCCCTAGTATGCACTGAATATGAGGCTGTGTGTGGGGGGGAGGGGGTGTTAGAGCCAGTCTGGAGGCTGAGGAGAAAAGAAAAAACTCTTACCCCTTATTAGTTATTCTATACAACATTACCATCTTTCCATGAGAATGGTAAGTGCAAATTCTAGTGTGTATTTATTATTCACCTTTCCCAAGACACAACAGACAAAGACACACCATGCAGTCCACTGAAAGTCAACTGACATTTTGGAGTAACATTGCCTCCATCTTCAGGGTCAAAGTATAAGCCGAGCACCCTTCTTAACCACATCTGTAAGGACCTCAGAGCATACAAAATACATAGTTTCCAACAGTTCTTTTATTCACCACTCCCAACACCTAATTTTGCTTACCTCATTGGTTTCGATGTTCATGTAGAACTTCACCCTTTTTAAGAGTGAATTTTAATGAGCCCAAAGCATTGCTTATGTAAATGATTTGGGGGGGGGGGGCTCTTCTGTTTTAAATTGAAGATATGCAGTGCACTGGCACTCTAGAAGAGAGGGGGCCAATAGATACTATTCATGTATGATCACACTCCATACAGCATACCTGACTTTGTAGTGTGCATTCTACTGGACAAAGAAAGTGGAAAACATGGGTTATGCTCATATCTCACACAGCACTTGTAATGTCACTAGACTGGTATGTTGAACTGAATTGAATTTATTTACATTCTATAAATCCTAAGTAGGTTAGTACCTTATTTCATATTTAATGGCAGGTTAATACATATCAGATCTGTTGCTGGAGATATGAATCTAGTGCAGTAAAGCTTATCACTATAGATATCACACTCTGTAGAATCACAAACTGTTTTCATTTTGTACATCTTATCAAAAGATGTTTCAAATAAAAATATGAAGTAGTGACCACTAGATGAAATGGGACCATAACTATATTTAGATAAGCAACTGTGGTGTGGCACCCATGTTTCATCAAAATCTGACGTGTAACCCATTTGAAGCATGGTCAAAGAACACATGCATGACCTTCCTTTCTTGGAGTTCATTTTATATATTCTGGGCAAGAAAAGGCATACAAACTAAGTTACTTGAAAAATGTAATGTCATATTTAGTGCTAACTGTGGGAAACAAGTGATACTGGCCTTGTCTGGTGTTGGCCACTTGGATTCTAATTCATCTTTGTACAGAGATCTCTTCATAAGCCATCCAAGACCTGGCATAGTTTCAACACGATACAGTAAACTTGGATCGTCACTTGTATGCTCATAGCCCTGGTCATTCCATGCCGAGATGCAATATATCATTTCATCTTCCTCCAATAAGCGTCGGGTCTGACTGAAGTAACTAGAAGGAAATTTATTACTGGACAAACACCACTTTGATAAATGCCAATGCAGAAATTCTTCAAACATAGAAGAATTTGTACAATAAGATCCCATGTGTGGCAACTTCCTACTTTTATTCAAATTGTTTGGTCCCAAAATATTTCGTATATCAGTATTATATCAGTATATTTATTCTTCTTAAAATTTATTCTGCTTGTAAAACATCTTGCTGATGAAACATAAACATTTTACTTATTATGTTTTTTATAACACTCACACTAAAGACACATGTCCGTCCAATGAATGTAAGCAAGCAGAAGCTACTTGGAATATAAGTAGATCTTGAATGACTATAAATCCCATGAAGATCACTTGTATTTTCATTTGTCAGTCCTGTGTGTCAGTTATGTTTTCTGTAATTGATAGTGGACTGGAAGTATGAGCAAATCAAGAGTGAAAATATAATTTTCATTTATAAAATAATTTGAAGCTTAAAATTTACCTAAAGAAATCTGGTGACACATCCAAATCCTCCTCCACAATGATGGCATATTTGGCATTTGGGAATATGTTGAATGTGGCAGTGAGTGATGCTTTATAGTGCTGTGATATTCGAGCATTTTTAACTCCAAGTGGTGTATGCTGGATTCCTCGAAGTCCAAAGAGCTTGGTAACTTCAAGAGGTTCCTCAAAGTATCCATCGATGAACACTGTTATCATTTCAGGGTTTACCCCATGTGCTGATAGCAGTGATCGTAACATTCTGCAGAAACAAACAAAGAGAAGAGAACTGTCAATCAGTTGTTACGAGCACTATCCTCATCCCAATCATCATAAGACACTAACAGTTCATCATCAATATTACAGTCTTGAACCAAATGCCAGATTTATCCATATTATCAAAATAACATCAACTTATTTTGATTTTTATTTCAAAATATTGGATATGTATGACTTCTAGGAGGCATGTAAAGGCAGCAGGATAAAAATAATTACAATTTTTGGAGAATTAATCATATCATCCAACATTAGAATGAAAATTTAACATTGTAGACAATATGCTTTGTGTTTCTTCTATCATCAGTATGTCTCCAGGCTCTTATTCTGGCAAGGCCTTTTTCTGTCTGCTTTAAATTGACAATTTTTAAATATCAAGTGAATATTAGGTTTTATATTTTAGCGTCCTGTTGCACTGATTTAAGTCCATGATTTATTTAATCCGTCTTGCAGTGCATACACTCATTTATCTCCTTCTCTCCCTCGCACTACATGTTTCGGCATAATAATGCCATCTTCAGGTGCTTACTTATCCACGTCAAACCAGTTCATTGCATGCCATGTTCACACATTAAAATAACTAAAATATGTATCTATCATATACATTGTCAAACGTTAAAAATATTAAAATTGTTCAGGATACCACATCGCTACGTCGCCCCTCACTACGTCAGTCACGCCCATTCTCCTTTGTTGGAGCACTCCTTCACTATCTTGTGTGTTGTGCTTTTGTTGTGTCGTGCTCCTGCGACTGCGTGTGTTATACTGAACAGTATAACACACAACAAAAGCACAACACACAAGATAGTGAAGGAGTGCTCCAACAAAGGAGAATGGGCGTGACTGACGTAGTGAGGGGCGACGTAGCGATGTGGTATCCTGAACAATTTTAATATTTTTAACGTTTGACAATGTATATAATAGATACATATTTTAGTTATTTTAATGTGTGAACATGGCATGCAATGAACTGGTTTGACGTGGATAAGTAAGCACCTGAAGATGGCATTATTATGCCGAAACATGTAGTGCGAGGGAGAGAAGGAGATAAATGAGTGTATGCACTGCAAGACGGATTAGATAAATCATGAATATTAGGTTAATTCTACAGTTATTAAAATTGTGAGTGACATAATGAAATACAGTTACAGCACCTGCTGCCAGAAGTGTCATGTTTTCAAATGCATGGAAAAAAAAAAGCATTGATAAGAAGCATTACCACACTCACCTATATAAGTAGTGAGGTCTGTTGCTTGCTATAATTGCAACTGGCACATCATGAACTTCATTATTCAAGACCTGAAAATGCAAGAAGTGGAGAATACTTCTCCTTTCATTCAGGCACATAAACACATTTAGTTCACTGGTTCCCAAACTTTATGAATCGATGAACCACTTACATTAAAACTCAAGAATATGTGAATCATCACCTTATGGGCTTTTGCAAACGTTTAAGGGAAGGTTGTGAGACCTTAATGTTAATGTTACCAAATTTAGAACCATTTGTCAAAGTAACCACAACTTCTACAGCTATGAAATTTCATATTTATGTAGCTGAGAATTCTTTGCATTATTCTTTGCTTTAGAATTATTTACTTGTAAACATATCTTTAATATTCTTTCTCTAAAAGACATAAACATAAAAATGGATACAGAAAATCATTGACTACATGTGTGCCAAATTTCATAAATATATAGCTTGTACTTGCTTAGTAAAATGCCCCCCAAAAAAAAAGTAAAAATTAAGAATGCAAAGATAGGGATTAATCCTCCCTTAACTGACAAATAACCTTCTCTTCTTCCAGGCATCTTGCACTGGTCTAACATCAGACAGTTAAATGTTTGCATGGTGTCTCAAAAATCATTATCCTTTGAAGGATTCAGAACTCAGGGAACCACATTTCTCCAACTTACAATAAAGTGTCAGTCCTAATCAATACAGTGCAAACTATCATGCTCTATTAATTTTTATATTTCATTAACATGTTTCTATCCCTGTCTCAAATAAGATCCTTCAAAATGTGACAAAATTTTTATAAGTTTAAAAACAAGGATGGAAATGCAACCTGATTCTTCAGTACCTCTCTAGAGCCATTCTCAACACCTGTCATAAATGTATAATCACAAGCTAAGTAAGCTACAAGCAAGGGCCGCACCATAGCTCAAGAGGTTAGTCGCTGGCTTCCCACAGCGGCGGCCAGGGTTCAATCCCGGGTCTGGTCAAGTGGGATTTGTGGTGGACAAAGTGGCGCTGGGGCATGTTTTCTCTGAGTACTTCGGTTTCCCTTGCCAGTCTTCATTCCACCAATTGCTCCACAATCACCCTAACCTATCATCTGGGGCTGGTACAATAGGCCAGAAGTGGCCGCAGTACAAGGGACTTAGTCCCACCCCACTAGCATTAAAAAAAAAATTCTACAAGCAGGTTCATATTTATGTCAGATATTAAACATTCAATCATAACAGTCAGATGACAAAGATAAATACGAAACATGTTTTCAGATATTGAACTTACTGGTTCAGGGTTGAACAAGAGTGGAGCAGGGTCTGTACAGCTACATACACTGCCATAGCCTTCAATATGATTACAAAACTCTCTTCGCCGTTTGTTTTCTTCTTTATCTGCCCAGTCACATTCACTTTCTGTAAGCAGACACAACATCCCATTTACTATTCTATTAAATTGTAACTAAACACAATGAAAATAAAATAATATAAACTGTATCCAATCTATGGAACATCTAGGATTTCAGAACCCACTTCGCAGTTTCCCTGAATTTCTTTCCATACATCAAAACTGGACAGATGGAAGGAAAGAGAACACACGTGCACTCACTCACGCATGCACGCACGCACACGCGCACACACACACACACACACACACACACACCCACCCACTCTGAAACCAGGAAATGTGCAAGAAGCAATCACACAAGAGTATTCCAGTCTTCCCATATTTACTGCTTTTTCTTTTGCTCTTCTCATTAACATAATCTTTATCATTCCTATGATTATTCTATGTGTTTCTTTAGAACCTAAGTGAAAATCCAACACCAACAGAACAAAAGAGATCAAGGGTTTGTCACAAACTGCTGAGGGAAGGTATATATGCAACAGAGATGAAGTCATACAAGAATGCGGAAAAGCATAATGAGGAGTTTCATATTACATATTTTTCATCTAATAATTAAATAAAGGAAGAGGAAGTGAAAGGTGAAAACAGGAAGCACATGGACAACTTTTGGTAGGAAAATCTCTAAGGGAAAGATCACTTGGGATACTTTGCATATATACTGGAATATAATATTAAAATGTTATGATGATGTTATTTTTAACTTACAGGCTGGATTGAGCTAGATCAGGATTATGTTCAATAACAGTGAATTTCTTAATTGCTACAATAAATATCAACTGCTCACAGAAGACCCTTCACTATGCAGTTGCTTTGGATGTTGACACTGTCATCATTATCATCATCATCATCACCGCATGTCATGATTGTCATCATCACCACCATATTTAAACTGCATTATCTGTACTTCTTCAATCTTGTCTTCTGTTCTGTGACTGCCTGTAACATGCTTTCTTCCTGCTGTCAAGTACTTCAAAATGTTGGTATTTTTATTGATATTCTCGTTGTTGTTGTTGTTAAATATCAAATGAAATATGAATATTTATTTAAGTCAAATTTCAAAGTTAATGTGTGTATTTACCTTCAACTGGAACAAGAGGAACTTCAGTGCGAAGAACTACAGGAGCTCCCCAGGCATTGAACTCAGTACTCTTGCTGTAAGACTCTCCGAACATCTTGGCACCTTTCTGTGTCACCATTGCCCACATGTCTCTCCAGCCAATAACCTGAGCTCGCTTCGACCCAAGTCGTTTCAAGAGATCACGTGCAGGCTGCTTCATCTGGAATGTCCCTTCATCCTACAGTTGAAACAAAGAATTGAAATCAGTTATAGCAGATTTCAACAAATACGGCATGTAACTAAGGGTTGATACTAAATTCTTAGCTCACAGAGGAATTAATGGCATCTGGAATTTATCAAACCAACCACAAACATTTTGAGAAAGTTGGAATTAATCTCTATGTGCTGTGTGGCGAGCAGACCTGAGCAACTACCATAAAGTGTGTCCAAACGTTTCTGCTATTACAAAGGCACAGTGAATGATGCCTAGGTATGGGTCAGATCCAAATAGAATTCTTCCAAATTATGTCAAAAAAGGAACTTGTTTTTCCTGACCTTTATGGCAAATATGATGATCCTTCCATCAGACACCATGTTGAGGAACAGTGCCATAGCTTCATCTTCGTGTGGCGAGTATGTGTCAAACGTACGCTGTGTCATAACGCTGCCACTGGCCTGATTTAGCACCAGAACATGGATGCCCCGTCCCTTATGCTCCTCACCATCTTCCAGGATCTAGCAAGCTACATTTACATTAAATTTCTCTCATTGCAATTTATTAGTAATACAGGAAGGAATGTTACCATTGATTCGCACTTTCCTCTGAAAGATTATTATCATTAACACGAACCCATAGTTAGGTAAGTAATTATATAGTATTGAGGAATAAATGTGCTAGAACAAGTCCCATTTCATATAGCAGCAATATAAGAGGTACTGGCATCTTATATCAAGTGACTCCTTTGACAACTTCAGCCCTTACCTCTGAAAAATCCAAAACTTTGTGAATGTACAAAAATCCATGCACTCATCACACTGATATTTTCGATGTTTAACTCATACATGTTGTCAGACTATGTCCACTCCTGGCCTGTTAGCTTGATTGCGTACTTTTGATTGAATTAAGGATTTTAAACTTCTTCTAAATCACTGTACCCAGTAGAGATATGACTCCTGCTCTGAGGTATTTAATCAGTCATACTTTTCCAAGAAAGTCAGTGTTACCAATTTTTAATTTTCTTTGACTTAAAAAGTTGCACAGAATCTTCAACAAATCACTCTTGGCTAATCTTAGTAATACATACACAATCATTAAAAATGTCTTATTTTTGCAATTATTATTTACTGGCAAAACATCCATTGAAATGCATGGACTTCTAACAGATATGAATTTGATAAGACACTTTGTTGCACCTACTCTGTGTTATACACGTTTCAGAAAACACTCATTGTTAAAACAAAAAAAAACTCCGTGGTTTTAGTCCGCAAGCGAACCATACCGACCGAGCAACTGCCGCTTATCAGCGAAGTTTAGTGCCAACTCATTGTTAATATATATTAAAATATTAAAAGCTAATATTAAAAACTGTAAGGAAAATATTTCATCTGCAACCATGTCTTGAAAGAGTACAGATACACTAAAAGAAAAACTACAGTGTAAGTAAAAATAAAGTGTTTTAATTTGGTTACAGTCTTTTTGGACAACCTTTAAATCCTCCATATGTAACTTCACTATATCACTTTATAACTCACAAATACATTTAAATGCTCCATCACCAATCATAGCTGCAAGGAAATATACAACAGTAAAACCTGAACAGTGAACCAAATTATATTTCATGAGAGACTGATGTCTGAGTTATAGCATAACATGAGGTTTAAAGAGACTCCAGTGTCATTGCTGTGACTTACCGTTGTCCCATCAACAGACACCGAGACTTTGGACTGGCTGCTGACTACTTCAATGGCAAGTGACTTGGGCTGACTTTCTTGCAGCCTCAAGTTGTTTCTCCTGTTTCTTCCATCAACCAGCTCTCCCCCATCTCCTGGCGATATACAGAGAAGCTTACAAACCCAGTTTGGTGTAAGAAGTGGAACCCACAATATGAAGGTCCTCCTGCCTTCATTCCACCAACAGCTTAATACAATGTGTCCCTTTGACATACATGAGACTCAGGTAACTGAGTCATGGTGTGGAAGAAGTCTGGTACCGTGTTTCATTGTAAGTTTGTGATTCTGAATTGATTATATGAAGTCACATTTGTATTACAAAGACAAAACAACTCCATCCAGTGTGACTATTTAAGTTTAAGTTTAACTAAAACAACAAAGTTTTAAAAACTTTAAAAACTTTAATATACCAGGAAAGCTGCTGTGATTGTAAACAGTTGGATTTTGTGTGTATTGTGCATTCCAGGCATTGTGTGTGTATGTATTTTAGCACTCAGAACATCCATTGTGATAGTAGTTTCCAAATAAGTATCGATGTTCCCTCTGAAGATGGTCTGTAAGGTCCGAAACATGTAAGGGTGATAAGTTTTCAAGTAGAAAAAACTTAAATAGTCACACTGGATGGAGTTGTTTTGTCTTTGTAATTGTTAGTGTGATGGACCAGAATGAAACAAATCAAATTCACATTTGTATAATCATAACAGCTAAAAGCCCTTCACACTTTGGAATAAAAATATGAAAATGAAGACATGTTTTAGGATTACTATAGTTCTATATCTGAATACTAAGTACAGAGGGACCAGAAGTTATCTACGGACACAACCACAAAGTTGAACTGAAATGTAATGTATGGTGTGTAGCGTGATACTCTTTCAAAAGATCCTGCTAGTCACATGAATGCCAGAGCCAAGAATGGCAGGATATACAAAAAAAATGGTACCGGAACTGTGTGTATACATTTTTCTTGGCTCATCTGTATGTCCTTTTTGTAATGAAATGCAGAGATTTCAGAATTGTATGTGTTCTTCATATTTCCAATAAGTAATTATTACTGTGATATATTATTCTTGTAGCATTTTAGCCTACTTATTATATACATTCAAGATAAAGTAAATGTGACATTGTCCCTCTGCCTAAGCACTATGAAGTATGTACATGGTGCTTGGAGAAATATTTCAGTGTATTATGAATCTACCATTAAATAATAGATGAATAGTCAGCTTCACGTCCAGAGAAACATCCCCTGGTAACCACATGGTACGGGGCTGAGTTAGCCTAGAACCTGAAGTAATTCCAACATAAACTGCAAAATCTTATAAGCCACAGATAAAATTTCACCAGCTATTCACCAGCTATAATTTCACCTCGGCACAGCAGCTGTAATTGCATTTCTCACTCCCTCAATAGTACGGACTGTAAAACCGATCTTCATATAGCCCATAGAAAGTGACATGGGCCAAGATTGGTTGAGTCAAGAGGCCAGGTTTGCCCTTATCTCAAATGCCCTGAATACTGATTCAAAGTGACCCAGTCTTCAGAATGAGGATATAATTTCTTATTGCAGTTTCTGGGTTTTGATCTTGTGTAGTCCTGTAGATGGATACCAGTATTTTAGAGGAATATGCTGGCTCCAACTCCAGGAGTGAAGTATGTAACCACCTTACTTGCAATCTGCTTACATAAGCTAATCAATTCCTCATTCAATGTACTTCAACATTGATGACGAGACACGTTCATCGAATTTGTGGTATCCGCCTATAACATCACACAGTGTCAAACCGAGAAGTCCACAGTGTAGAAAATCACCATGATGAAAAGTTGAAAACATTCATGAGTGTGTAAACACTGCAGTTGAAACATTGTGTTATTAAACAACCAATCAATCAACCAGCAAGGATACAAACCAGTTACTTCCTGAATGTTCGTCTGTTATGTCACTTTGCTGACACTTGACAAAAGAGGAGATTACAAATCTGAAATGAATTTCTCACCTGTAGTTTGCACTTCATCATGAAGACGTCTGCTTGTGTCTAGGATAAACATGATGTTGATACCAATTGTTATGAGTAGCACCACAATCAATAGCCCCTGCAACACAACAATTAAACCTTGTTCAACTGTTCCTGTAAGATAACACATACTATATAATTTATCCATGTTCAATTCTATTCAAAAATTGTTTTTCCTTGTATTATTTTTTTCTGGTTATTGCACTGATTATCTTTGGTTGGAAAACTTTCTTCTTACTAAATACAAATAGTAGGATTTAAAAGAGATTGATTGCATTCCTGTTGTGCTAATTAAATGTATATAAAAGTACAGATTTCAGTCAAATACAACTTTTATTACAAAATGATTAAAAGACTACATGTTTTGGCAATTTTTATTCACCATCATCAGACCATCATTATCATTGTCTTTTATATGTATGTGCATTGTATGCCTACAAAACAAGGGACCCATAAAGCTTCCTCTTCACACTTACAGGTCTGGGCGAATTAGAATCACTGAAACATGTAGCCTTTTAATAATTTTGCAATAAAAGTTGTATTTGACCAAAATCTATACTGTTATATACAAATATCACGGGACTAGTGAGTTCAAGGATTTAATTTCATTATGTCTTGTACAGATGCTACATGTTCTGGCATCTTTATTTCTTTAGGGATAATAATCCTTCAGTTTTATGCAATTTTGGATAATTTTATGAGCTTCATAAACCATTCTGCATATAGGAGTTCTCAACCCTTGAAAGGAAATGCTGGACAAGATTCTAGAATTGCTCATTAAATTCAAACTTCTGGTTTCCCATTGCCTCTTTCAGCAGTGCAAAGAAATGGAAATCAGTGCAAACTAGGCCGAAACGGTGAAGTGGCTGCTAAAGAACACTGACACATGTTGGCTGTTTGGGCAAGACATTGTATCGCTGAAGAACTTTCTTCCACAGAAAACACATCATTGTAAATGGATTCAGGCACATTCTTTCAGTCCATAGAAAACTGACAGAGATTACATGCAGCTATCCCCATAATGCAATTGCATGTCACAAATCTGCAGAAAGTGTATTCTTGAATTTTCTTAGGATACTTACTTACTTACTTACTTATTCATGGAGCTGAACCCTTCTGGAGGAGCCACCAATTCTGCAGCTACTCAAGAAAATCCCAGCATTTTATGGAACCGAAAGGTTCATTACCGTGTTCACAAGATCCTTTCACTGGTCCCTATTCTGAGCCAGATAAATCCAATCCATACCATCACATCCTATCTCTCTAAGATCCATTTTACTATTGTCCTCACACCTACACCTTGTTCTTCCCAGTGGTATCTTTCTTTCTAGCTTTCCCATCAATATCCTATATGCATTCCTCGTCTCTCCCCTTCGTGCTACATGCCCTGTCCACACTCTGTTGCATTAACACACATATATGAACACATTCCATGAATGAATTTTATCAACATAATTGGTCATGAGTGTGTAAATTTGTAATGTATTTAATTCAGTTAATACAGGTAATTTAAATAAAATTATATTAATTCAAGTTTTATAGTAAATTGTTTTTAATTTATCTTATTAAATTTTTTACTTTATGTTACTATTTATGTTAATCGATTAATGTAAGTGATTTTGATTGTGTGATTCGTGTAATTTTGTATATGTATCTTGATATATATATATTTTCAAAGGGAACATTTCCACATCCTAGGTCTGTTACTTGTATGGATATACAGAAAATAAATGAAATTAATTAATTAATTCTCCTCAGAAATTGAGAAAATCAAAGATCCTGGGAGAAAACCAAAGATAAGTAACTTTCCTGACAATGTGTCAGGTCTCGCGATGTGTGATGTCCTGAGATAACTTTATCTTCTAACGATGCCACGGTCTGTAATGTACGTACCTGGAATATCTTTGTGAGAAAGCGCCGTCTCCCCAGAGGCCGGGTGATGAGCGCCTGTGAGTTATACAACACGCCTCGCTTCGGGATGAAGGGCTGTGAACGCGGGTTCGGTTGCCAGGACTCCATGCCTCTGGGCTCACACTGCACCACTCATACGCACCTGAGGGCAAAGGTATATTTTGAAATAACATGGCGTTGTACATATATAATTAATAGAGTCGAAGTCAGACAGGTGCTTGGGTGATGATTGGGTTCGGACACAATGAGGAAAGAAATGTCGAGTTCAGAGCAGAACAAATATTAACTGCCTTTGATAGCATGTAGTAAATAAAAGTTGATTCTGACAATATCGGGTATGTTTATCACAAAAACGACAGCCAAAAACTTGTAAGGCGCAAGGGCTTTTTTCCCCCCCGGTTCTGTCATTGTCTAAGTCATGTACGGAAGTTATACGTACATATATACCAGTTGAATGTAGTGACAATTATAAGATGAAACTAAAATGTTGTTCACAAATAAAATATTACATTCTTATATTATGACAGATGAAAGTTAGAGTAACGCTACAAAAGTACAAAAGTAAAAAAAGCATTTTTTTCACCCCAGAATTCAATATAAAGTACCGTGATTCAAAACGTTTGTATTCAGGCGTGGAACCAGCATATCACAATTAACTTCAAAAGTCTGTTTGGCTTTACTTCACTAGATCCTTGTCGATTGTGTTGTGAATGTTGAAGTAGCAGTAGTAGAAGGTAAAGCTATCCCTGTAACAGGCCGCGGAGGTCCGTAGAATTGTCAGACGTCGAGGCTCCCACATTTTCTAGACAATCGGTTCACAGATGTCGGTGAGGTTGTCAGCCTTACGCGCCTGCCGCCCTTTACCCCCCAGGAAGATTCCTGGTATTCATTTCTGTTAGAGGCTGAGTTGGCCCTAGGACCATAATGCAGATGGAAGGAATAGGTCAATTGAGAAATCCAATAACCTCATCGAGAATCGAACCTGCGATCTTCCGGCTTTATAGCATAGTGCCTCAATCAACTATGCCACCGTGTGCCGTAGTAGTAGTAGTAGTAGTAGTAGTAGTAGTAGTAGTAGTAGTAGTAGTAGTAGTAGTAAAAACAACGACAACAACAACAGTGTTGAGAAAGAAGAACAGAACTGACAGACAGAACAACCTGCCTTTGACGGAACGAATTCCCTGCAACTGAACTGAAAGACGAAATTTACTCTCGCAAGAGCTCATCAGTTCCGTAATTTAGGTGTCGCTGGTTCACAGTGTACACGAAGGTGGTTATAAATGGAATCTTGAATCGAGAACTGTGTTGAAATGCAATTTGCTGCGGACAGTGACAAAATGCAAACACTATAAAACACACATTTCGAGAATTTTTCACCTCGTTGACAGACCGTGTATAATAGGTAGGCATGGACTTTTTGATGATGACGTCCATTCAGTTTGGAAAAATCAACATTATATGTCACAATGGTGGCGCGTTACTGCGACAAACGCGAAAGGTGGGGGGGTGGTGAAACGAGGACCATGTTAAGCTATACTTCTGCGGTTCTGGAAGTTAAGTATTCAACAATCACTTTTCGCAGCCGCCTTCCAAGAGTGTTTCCCTACACATAAGCACTTAATAACGCCAAAATTCCTGGGACTTCCCATACGCACAACAATTCTACACCAGATGAACCAGGTTTTGTGAAATCGTATACAGAAAGTCATCGTGGAAATCTACATAACGAGGAATTCTAGGCTTACAATAATTGTGTTCTGAATATTATCCACCCTCCTGTTTTTATTTAAGACACATAACATTTAGGAGATTGGATTCTGTCTCCGTCTTCAGGTGGAACCTACTCAGATGGATCCAATCGATAGAACTAGTCCCTATCTCCGGACACCTGCACCAACACAAGATAGGATATATCACGTGATTCTAACGTATTGTCAGAGTTTCCGTGGCCTACAATTTTCAAACCGGAAACAATGAAAGTGCGCATGTTGAAGTTGTTTAACATTCTGCAGTATTTATTCTATAAGTTATACAACATTTTGAGTTACAATTTCATATTCCGTGAGCAGTTTTAATTTGTTATTTTCGGTTTGAAAATTACAGGCCATGGAAACTCCGACAATAATTTAGGGTCACCTTGTACAACCCAAGCAGAGCATAGCCCATCTACGAGAGTTTAGACAAACACTAAAATCGTTAAAAAAAAACTCCCCAAACACAAGAGGCCTAGCACCTATGTCCATGCACTATTTCGGGGCTATAATTATAATCAGAGTATTGTCAAACTATAAGTCTCCGAAATGTTGTGTATTTAAAATAAAAAAACAGGAACATGGATAATGTTCAGAAACAATATAACTACAACTGCAGGAGCCAGGATAGCTCAGTCGGTATAGCGACTGGCTACGGGCTGGACGAGTGAGGGGTCGGAGTTCGAGTCCCGGTAGGGTCAAGACTTTTCTCCAAGTAGTCCAGACCGGCTCTGAGGTTCACTCAACCTCCTTTAAATGGTATCGGGGGCTCTTTCCCCGGGGATAAAGCGACCGGGGCGTGAATCTGACCACTCACCCCCAGCTAGTTTCGAGGTCAAGAAAATGTGGATCTATACATCCAAAGTGCTTAATTGGTTAAGCACAGAGACAACAATAACTGTATTAACATGCCATCATCACAAACTTTAAATAATATCTAGACTTTTAGTTTATCACTTTCACTTCGAATTATTCGAGTGTTAATAACAAGACGGATAAGATTAATGGAACATGTATGAAACAAATAATAAATGCACGCAGAATTTTGTTTAGAAATTCACAACGAAGACATTATTTGGCAATTCTTGGCGTATATCTAGTTATACAGTAAAATGATGCTTCGCGAGATTACGATAATGGGGCGCGCTTACAGAGCTCTGCGCGCGCAGGTTACAGCCAGAGCCATCTCTGCTGGTAGATTAACTTGCCAACAATAGACTCTCCGACGTGAGCTAAAGAATGCGTATTTAGAACAGCTTCTCGAAACTGTATTGTGTAACATTTTTAATATTGGATGTTGCGACTGTGAACACGAGGATATGCTAGTGACAGAATGATATTACAGCAAATGTTCAAAAGAAGTGAATTACATATAACCGACTCAAAATGGAATCCAATAGCGGTTTTTTTCTTTTGTGTCTGACTTGATGAATTTTCAGACTCCATAAAAGCAGGGACTTTCACCATTAGCCGAATTTAATGTACTCAACGCCAAAGGAAGGAAACATTACAGATACTTTGCTGTAAAGATTTATCATTCACATGCAATTTTGGTCGAAACCGGGGGGAAATATTGTGACATGTAGACCCATTACTAGGGAACGAATTGGCAAACATGTTTTCGTAAAGATGGATTATTGGAAACCAAAACGACGTTTCCGCGGATACTGGTGATCACGAAACATTTCCTTGGATACGAGACTGAAGATGTCGGCCCACCACGACCTTATACAGGAGCCAGACGTAAATCAGACGTCAGACGTAGTTCGGACCAGAATTAACGGAATAAAACGGAGTACAGTGGAGTAGTGAAGCGTGAGTGTCCAATCGAAGAAGATGATAGTGTGCGAAGTGTGAGTGTCCACTCGAAGATGACAGTGTGTGAAGTGTGACTGTCCATTCGAAGAAGATGACAGTGTGTGAAGTGTGAGTGTCCATTCGAGGAAGATGACAGTGTGTGAAATGTGAGTGTCCAGTCGAAGAAGATGACAGTGTGTGAAGTGTGACTGTCCATTCGAAGAAGATGACAGTGTGTGAAGTGTAAGTGTCCGTCCAAGATGAGAGTGTGTATAGTGTGAGTGTCCAGTCTAAGAGGATGACAGGGTGTGAAGTGTGAGTGTCCAGTCGAAGATGACAGCGTGTGAAGTGTGAGTGTCCAGTCGAAGAAGATGACAGCGTGTGAAGTGTGAGTGTCCACTCGAAGAAGATGACAATGTGTGAACGGTTATAACCAGTCGTACAAAGGTCAAATAAATTCGATCATCAAAACGAAACCCGTCTTATTAGTCACGCAAACCCCAGATACGTGGCAATACGTACTACGGTTTTACATGAAAGTGAAAGTTTAAATGGTCATTTCGGCGACTCTGGCACAGATGGGCTCTTCAAGAGACTGATGTCAGAATTTGGTTTCGCTTCGGGGTGAAATTGTGGGTTCTTCTTTATTTTTCCCGTGGGTTACTTAACAGCGCTTACAGTATCGAAACTATATTGCGTTGAATGGTAGGCTGTTATAAGAATGAACTGAAAAGGATTTGGAAGGAAGCGGCCGTGGCATTTGCCTGAACGGACTCAATAAACCACGAAAAACTTCAGGGAGGACAGCAGGTGTCCCCGACCGAGATTCAAACTAAACCCCTCCAGAGTGTTACTTCCAGACCAACTTGTTCGGTGCGGGCTCTTATAAACCTCTGTGGTCTAGTGCTCAGAGTTCCTGCCTACAGATTCAGAGGTTCCGGGTTCGATTCCTGGGGCTACCAGATATTTTCGGAGAAGTAATGTGTCTGGAACGGGTTTCACTCAGCCTCGTGATAATAACTGAGGAGCTACTTCAAGGAAATAGCGGCTCCGGTCTAGAAAACCGAGATTAACGGCCGTGGGGATCCATTGGGCTGACCACGCGACACCCTCTATCCGCAAAAGTTGGCACTAACTTCGCCGACAATCGGCGGTCGCTCGGTCGGTATAGTTCGCTTGCGGACTAAAACCATGGGGGTTTGTTTTGTTCATATAATATGGGGAGTTACTTGCCTATGTGAGACACTATCAGCTTCTCAAGAAACACTCTTCTGCGTGCAGTCAGTTATGTTATATGCAGAATAATGAAAGTTGGCCTCTACAAATCCAATCGTACAGTTTAGAACGGAGAAATAAGTTACGTTATGTACCACATAGGCCTACATTATCTTCTAAATAATGGTCGGCAAACACTACGCCCCCGCGTTGGTGTCTCCACCTTATCGTGGTGAGGGGGTTTGAGTATGCCAAGGACCCTGAGAGCTATACCAGCGGTAGCGTAGCTACTGGCAGGGCCTCCCTTGCTGGACAGGTCAAAGGGTAGGCATCAGACGAAGAGAGACACCAAAAACCGAAAACCANCAAACACTACGGA